CTCTCGAATCTCGGTTGTATTTAAAACATTTTTTTTTCTTGTTGTTGTTAAAATGAAAGAATCAATAAAAAAAATTCTCATTCGAAAATAACGATTCTCATTCGATTCATGAACAATTTAATTAATGATTATGAATCATAATTCAATTTTATTAATGTTTTTTCTTCCGTTGATGATATGTTGTAATGGCAGTAGATCGTTTTGAGCATTTCTGCTTTCCCCCCCCCCAAAAACCATTCATTTTTCATTTTGTTTTTGTCAAAAACAAGAAACAAAAAAAAAGAAAAAGAAACGGGCACATTTCAAACAAATAACCCGACTAAATGATTGTGACAAGTATGTTCTGCTGCTGCTGCTGCTGTTTTGATTTTGATCGTCGGAAATCAACCAGAAACAAAAAAGGACAAATTTCATTTTTTTCTTTCATGTTTCTTCTTTCAAAGAAAGATTTGATTAAAAGTCTGAAATGAAATTACATCAGCAGCAAATCATGATGATTACAGTGAAAACAACCATCCATCCAGCCAAATAACGAAGATAAAGGGTTTGTTGTTGTTGCTTGTTTGTTTTATTTAAATTCAATTATCGAAAATGAATTGTAATTTTTTTCATTTCACAATGATCATTATGATTTGGACGCACCATTTTTTTGCATTTCATTCCAGAAAAAGATTAATGTTCTTTGAATGAAAAATGTAAATCATCACCACCATCGTGTCAAAACTTTTTTTCGTTTTCAATTTCATTTCGAAATTTGAAAAATTTTTCCTTTTCCCCCACACCGTTTAACTTTGGTTATTGTTTTGATTGTGGTTTCTCCAATCATCTGCCAATGAAATCAAACCAGGAACCAGGAATCAAAAATCAATATCTGAATGTCATTCACATCATCAGTCATCATCGTTTTCCTTTTGTTTTAAATTTCGTGTTTGTTTTGTTTTTGAATTTGAAATTTTTTCCTTTTCAGGTTTTTCGATTTTCAAATGTTTTTCCACAGAAAAAAAATCTGGATTTGATCGATCGATCGAGATATAGATAGATTTTTCCGATTCAATCAATGTCAATATGTTTCTTTATAAGGTTTTGTTGTTGTTTGTTGCTCAATTTTTTTTTCGAATCCCTGAGCAGCCTGAAATGATTGATCCAATAAATAAAGAGATTTCGTTCAAATTTGGAAAAAACGATTTTGATTTATTTATTGATTATTACTTGAAGCAATTTTTTTTTCTTCGTTGTTTTACGTGGATGATTATCGTCCATTCAGTTATAACTCGTTTTTTCTTCTTCTTTTTTTTTGCACCCAATCGATTGATCCAATCAATCATAAATGTTAATGAATTGATTTGATTTTGGATTTTTGAGATTAAAAATCCAATAAACCAAAAACGGATATAACACTGAACGTCCTATATGAATGACACATTTTGCTCACCATTTTTTGTCATTCGATCCTCGATATTTATTTTTGTGGTTCATTTTTTTTTCATTTTCCCTTAACACTTGACCATCATTTCATCATCAATTAATGTTTTCTTTTTTTTCAAACAATCAATCAATGAATGGATGATATTTGATAACTACAGTCTTGACAATGACAACATCATCATCATCATTGAACAAACAAACATTCTTTGATGCATTTGATTTTTGAATAAACAAACAAACAAATGGGACCAATCGACCAAAAACCAACCGATTGGGTCGATTTGTTATTTGAAGGGGAAGAAAAAAATTGCATTTCCAAAAGTGAAAAAAAAATCTACAAAGTAAAAGAGACTGAAAACGAGAAAACTGTGCGAAAATAAAGAGAAAAACGACAACAACGACGAACAAAAAAAAATTGGTTGTTGAAAAAGTTGATGGTAAAGTTACCAAATATGGATTTAACAAGCCTGCAAAGATGTGTTGATGTGATGTAAATGTAAGCA